AAAGTGAAGAGAACTTAAAATATTTACTGATGGAGATCAAAGAGCACAGCCTTCAGTATGGATTGCATCTCAATATAAAGAAAACAAAAATCCTCACCACTGGATCAATAAACAACATTCTTATCAAGGGAGAAAAGATTGAAGTTGTCAACGACTTCATTCTTCTTGGATCAACACTCAGAGAAGCAGCAGTCAAGAGATCAAACGACGTATTGCATTAGGCAAATCTGCTTCACAAGACTTTTTTAAAATGTTGAAGACCAAAGATGTCAGCTTGAGGACTAAGGTGCTCCTGACCCAAGCCATAGATTTTCAATAACCTCATATGCTTGCGAAAGCTGGACAGTGAATAAGGAAGACCAAAGAAGAATTGATGCATTTGAGTTATGGTGTTGGAGGAGAATATTGAAAGTGCCATGGACTGCCAAAAGAACCAACAGATCTGTGTTGGAAGAAGTGCAGCCACAGTGCTCCTTGGAGGCCAAGATGGACAGACTTCGTCTCTCATACTTTGGACATATTGTCAGGAGGAGGAGTCGCTGGAGAAGGATATCATGTTTGGTAAGGTGGAGGGTCAGAGAAAAAGGGGAAGACCCCCAGTGAGATGGATTGGCAAAGTGGCAGCATCGATGGGCTCAAGCATGGCAACAATTGTGAGGTTGGCCCAGGATTGGGCGGTGTTTCATTCAGTTGTGCCTAGGGTCACTATGAGTTGGTACCGACTCGATGGCACCTAACAACAACATCATTGAAAAGAATGTTTCATGATCTATCTAGAAGTTCCATGCTGTCTATGATAATATAATATTCATGCGCCTATCAGATGTGGTGCTGTGGGTTAATGTGCTGGACTGCAAAGTCGGTTTGAACTGCAATGTTGGTGTTTGAAGCTCACCAGCCACTCCTCAGAAAAGGGTCACTATGGGTCATAACTGACACAACAGCACTGAACAACATAAAGAAGACCAGTTAATACCACTATTATTCAAATTTACACACCAACCACTAAAGCCAGTGATGATGAAACTGAAGAATTCTACCAACTTCTTCAGTCTGAAATTGATCAGACATGCAATCAAGATGCATTGATCATTACTGGTGATCGGAATGCCAAAGTTGGAAACAAAGAGGAAGGATCAGTAATTGGAAGGTATGGTCTTGGTGATAGAAATGATGCTAGAAACCACATGATAGAATTTTGCAAGACCAATGACTTATTCACTGAAAATACCTTTTTTAAACAACATAAATGGTGACTACACACATGGACCTCACCACACAGAATACACAGGAGTCACATTGACTACATCTGTGTGAAGAGACAGTGGAAATACTCCATATCATCAGCCAAAACAAGGCCAGGGGCAGACTGTGAAGCAGACCATCAATTGCTCATATGCATGTTCAGGCTGAAGCTGAAGAAAATTAAAAGCCAAGAGCCAAAATGTGACCTTGAATGTATCCCACCTGAATTTAGAGATCATCTCAAGACCAGATTTGATGCATTAGACACAAATGACTGAAAACTAGAAGAACTGTGAAGTGTCATCAAGAACATTATACAGGAAGAAAGCAAAAAGTCATTAAAAAGACATAGAAAAAAGAAAAGTCCAAAATGGATGTCAGAAGCCAATCTGAAATTTGTTCTTGTCCATAGAGAAGCTATAGTGAATGGAAGAAATGAGGATGTTGAAGAGCTGAACGGAAATAGACAAAGCCAAGTAGTATAATGAAATATGCAAAGATCTGGAATTAGAAAAACCAAAGTGAAAAACGTGCTCTGTGTATCTCAAGCAGAAAGAATTGAAAAAAATCAAGCCTTGACTTGCAATATTGAATGATGCTGAACGCTTCAACAGAAGATTGCAGGTATACCCAAAGTCACTGTAACAAACATCAATAGTCAATTACAAGAGGTAGCATATGATCAAGACTCAATGATACTGAAGGAAGAAGTCCAAGCTGCACTGGAGGCATTGGTAAAAATAAGCCTTCAGTTGGCACTGTGGGTTAATGTGTCAGACTGTAAAGCCATTTGAATTGCAAGGTCCGTGGTTCAAGCTCACCAGTTGCTCCTTGGAGACCCTATACAGTATCACTATGGGTCAGAATCGACTTGATGGCACTTAACAAAAACAACAACTGACAATACAAATTGAAATCTTTCAACAAACTGATGCAGAATTGGAGGCACTCACTCATCTATGCCAGAAAATTTGGAAGACAGTTACCTGACTAACTGATTAGAAGAGATCCTTATTTGTGCCCATTCCAGAGAGAGGTGACCCAATGAAATGTGCAAAACATTGAACAATTCATTAATATACATAAATTACATGTAAATATAATTTTTCTGAAGGTAATTCAAAAAACGGTTATAACAGTACATCAACAGGGAACTTCTAGAGATTCAGGCCAGATTCAAATGAAGATGTGAAACGAGGGTATGATTGCTGATGTCAGATGTATCTTGGGTGAAAGTAGAGAGTACCAGAAAGATGGTACCCTTTCTTTATTGACTATTCAAAGACTTTCAGCTGTGTGCATCATGAAAAATTATGGATAATCTTGTGAAGAATGGGTATTCCAGAACACTTAATTGTGCTAATGAGGAGCCAGTGTAGTGACCAAGAGGTGGTTGTTAAAAGAGAACAAGGGGGTGCTGAATCATTTAAAATCAGGAAAGGTGTGCTCCAGGGTTGTATCCTTTCATTGTATCTATTCAGTCTGTAC